CCACCCCATCAGGTCGTCTTCACTACACTGGCCAGCACATCAGGTCGTCTTCACTACCCTGGCCAGCCCATCAGGTCGTCTTCACTGCCCTGGCCAGCCCATCAGGTCGTCTTCACTACCCTGGCCAGCCCATCAGGTCGTCTTCACTACACTGGCCAGCCCATCAGGTCGTCTTCACTACCCTGGCCAGCCCATCAGGTCGTCTTCACTACACTGGCCAGCCCATCAGGCGGTCTTCACTACACTGGCCAGCCCATCAGGTCGTCTTCACTACACTGGCCAGCCCATCAGGTCGTCTTCACTACCCTGGCCAGCCCATCAGGTCGTCTTCACTACACAGGCCAGCCCATCAGGTCGTCTTCACTACACTGGCCAGCACATCAGGTCGTCTTCACTACCCTGGCCAGCCCATCAGGTCGTCTTAACTACACTGGCCAGCCCATCAGGTCGTCTTCACTACACTGGCCAGCCCATCAGGTCGTCTTCACTACACTGGCCAGCCCATCAGGCCGTCTTCTCCACCCTGGCCAGCCCATCAGGCCGTCTTCACTACCCTGGCCAGCCCATCAGGTCGTCTTCACCACCCTGGCCAGCCCATCAGGTCGTCTTCACCACCTTGGCCAGCCCATCAGGCCGTCTTCACTAAACTGGTCAGCCCATCAGGCTGTCTTCACTAAACTGGCCAGCCCATCAGGTCGTCTTCACTACCCTGGCCAGCCCATCAGGCCGTCTTCACTAAACTGGCCAGCCTATCAGGCCGTCTTCACTAAACTGGCCAGCCCATCAGGTCGTCTTCACTAAACTGGCCAGCCCATCAGGTCGTCTTCACTACCCTGGCCAGCCCGGTCGTCTTCACTACCCTGGCCAGCCCATCAGGCCGTCTTCACTACACTGGCCAGCCCATCAGGCCGTCTTCACCACCCTGGCCAGCCCATCAGGTCGTCTTCACTACCCTGGCCAGCCCATCAGGTCGTCTTCACCACCCTGGCCAGCCCATCAGGCCGTCTTCACTACACTGGCCAGCCCATCAGGTCGTCTTCACTACCCTGGCCAGCCCATCAGGCCGTCTTCACTACCCTGGCCAGTCCATCAGGCCGTCTTCACTACCCTGGCCAGCCCATCAGGCCGTCTTCACTACCCTGGTCAGCCTATCAGGTCGTCTTCACTACACCGGCTGGCCCATCAGGCCGTCTTGTCAGTGTAATGAAGGGAGTAGAGTCCTACATGTCGATGTTTGCGGATGACGCAAAGTTGATGAGAAGAGTTGTGACAGACGAGGATTGCAGGATCCTCCAAGAGGACCTGAACAGGTTGCAGAGATGGTCAGAGAAATGGCTACTGGAGTTCAACACGAGCAAATGTAAAGTTATGGAAATGGGACTAGGTAATAGGAGACGAAAGGGTCAGTACACAATGAAGGGGAACAGCCTACCTGTGACGACGCGCGAAAGAGACCTGGGTGTGGACGTAACACCTAATCTATCTCCTGAGGCACATATAAATAGGATAACGACAGCAGCGTACTCTACACTGGCAAAAGTTAGAACATCATTCAGAAACCTAAGTAAGGAGGCATTTAGGGCGCTTTACACTGCCTACGTGAGGCCAGTCTTAGCGTATGCCGCCTCATCATGGAGTCCCCATCTGAAGAAACACATAAGGAAACTGGAAAAGATTCAGAAGTTTACAACGAGGCTTGTCCCAGAGTTACGAGGAATGGGGTATGAAGAGCGCCTGAAGGAACTGAACCTAACGACGTTAGAAAAAAGAAAGGAGAGGGGAGAGGGGAGACATGATAGGAACGTATAAAATACTCAGGGGGATTGACAGAGTGGACATAGACGAAATGTTCACACGTAATAATAACAGAACGAGGGAACATGGGTGGAAGCTGGAAACTCAGATGAGTCACAGAGATGTTAGGAAGTTTTCTTTTAGCGTGAGAGTAGTGGAAAAATGGAATGCACTTCAGGAACAGGTTGTGGAAGCAAATACTATTCATAGCTTTACAACTATATATGATAAAGAAGTACAGGAGTCATTGCTTTAAACAACCGGTGGCTAGAAAGGCGGGATCCAAGAGTCAACGCTCGATCCTGCAGACACAAATAGGTAAGTACACACACACACACACACACACACACACACACACACACACACACACACACACACACACACACACACACACACACACACACACACACACACACACACACACACACACACACACACACACACACACACACACACACACACACACACACACACACACACACACACACACACACACACACACACACACACACACACACACACACACACACACACACACACACACACACACACACACACACACACACACACACACACACACACACACACACACACACACACACACACACACACACACACACACACACACACACACACACACACACACACACACACACACACACACACACACACACATCACACACACACACACACACACACACACACA